TGTGAATAGAATTCATCAACAGATAAGTCACCCTGCTCAAGAGCATGCTCCTGACGCACCACAGAAAGATATAGAGCATCACTAGAGGGCTGATAGCGCTGCCAAAGATAGGACCACATTGCTGCAACAGTGCCAAGGCCCATAAATTTTGAAGCAAACCGAGGGAGAACACTGCAGTGAGAACAGCAGCAGCTCGAGCATCATCATTGCACCACTGAGTGTAAGCAAACAGATCATCCCGGTAGACAGAGAGAGCATCAGAATATGCGGATACCTGCTGATCATAAGTATCAACTGTAGCATCATCAAGAGCCTTGGCTGCATCCTGATCAGCCTGAGAAGCATCAGCAGCAAGCACCGGCGGCACCGGAGCCACCGGAGCAACAGTGCAGGGCGGACATGGTACCTCGCTAGAGAGAACACCCCATAATAGAAGGCCGCGCATATGGATACACATGAAACCCGCAAACTCAGCATAGTTGGTGCCATAAAAAATCACCGAGCAACGAGAAACAACTACATAGCCCGAAGATGACATACTGATATATCTTTTTTTTTTGAAGTCAACGAAGGCAGAAGCCCCGATCTGTATCGAACGGGATCGAGCGAGAGCTCACGCACGCGCGCGTACACCCGAGGCGAGGGCCAGCGGCTGGCGAGCAGGGGCCAGCTTTGTCGGCCGAATGAGAGCGGACGACGCAGGAGGGGAGAGCGAAGCAGCAGCCTCAGCAGCAGCGCACGCTTGGGGGCCGAACGGAGCAGCAGCTCAGCAACAGACTAGGTGGAGCAGCAGCTGAGCGAAGCAGCTGCCTAGCAGCAGCGCACGCGCGGGGCTGGGCGGAGCAGCAGCCCAGCAGCAGCACACACGCGGGATAGGGCGGCGGCCAGGCGGAGTAGACGACGGGGCCAGGCAGCGGAGCGGACCGGGGCGACCAGAGTCGCAGCGAGGAGGACGGGGGTGGCCGGATCCGCGACGAGGACAGCCGGGGCGGCCGGATCCGTGGCGAGAAGAGCCGGATCGGGCAGTGGGTGGATCGGGGGAGGAGCTAGCACGGAGTTGCAGCGTGCGGGGGAGAGGGGAACCTAACATCTGATACCATATTGGATAAACATCAACTACATTAACAGAAGGGCCAAAGACCAATACATATATATGTGTATGGTAAAGTGCAAGAAACCCTTTATACAATGAGGATAAACCAAAAAGGGCTATACACATCTAACACCATGAACACGTACAATATTCCCATATGCTCCCCGTTCCGGTTCAAAACAGACATCCCATTCAAAGCTGACAGCAAAAAATAACCAAAATGATGGCCCGAAGCTATCTACCATATTAACAATCAGCCGCAGTCATAGAAACTACAGAAAAACAATTTCAATCAGTTAAGATCTTCAGCGAGGCTGTGCTTCAGAAACTTTACATTTTGCCACACATTATATCACAAAACTGACGACACATGTAACATGTTTAAATGTCATAAGGTTCCACCATAATAAGAACTAAAAGAATTTTGAGTTTTGCTATTCGACCTAATAAGCCAGTCCATGCCAAGATTAACAAGCATATTTAATTCGTGGAAAAAATATTGCATTCTAAAATGCATGTGGTGTCCAAATATATTTGAAAGGGATAAACTAAACTCTCGATCTGGACTTGGAGCTTTCGATTCACCGCTATGGAGAAACTGAAGGTATAAAAAAGAATTCAACTATGGAGAAGAAGCCCAAGGGAAAATGAAGCCCACAGAGCCTATTCGTGTTGATCCCTCATGGACCAAAACAACACTCTCTATAGGAAAAACCCTATTTGACGCTCTCTGCGTCAAAGGGTCGATCAAACGCACAGGAGCTCGATCAATTGGGCCGGCCCATCTCCTACTGCACACATAGCTGGGCAGTTCATGTTTTGGGAACCTTCCAGATTGTTCGCAGCCGGCTTTTCCGGTTTGGGTACCTTCTAGAAGGTTCCTGGCCCGGTTTCTCTTTTTCTTTTTTCTTTCTTTTTTTTCATTTTTCTGTTTATGTTTTCTTTTCTTCCATTTTTGTTTTGTACAAGTTTAAACTAAGCTCACCGACCGATGATGAGCCCACCAAGTTTAGCTTCAGCAGGAGGGGATGAATAGTGGCCTCCACCTCCATTCTTCATTTTTCATTTTTCTGTTTCTTTTTTACTTTTCTTCCTTTTTTTTGTATAAGTTTAAACCAAGCTCACTGACCGGCGATGAGCCCACCAAGTTTAACTTCAGCAGGAGGGGATGATTAGTGGCCTCCACCTCCATTTTTCATTTTTTTCTGTCTCTTTTTTCTTTTCTTCCATTTTTGTTTTGTACAAGTTTAAACGAAGCTCACCGCCACCCACCAAGTTTAGCTTCATCAGGAGGGGATGAATGATGGCCTTCGCCTCCGTGAAGCGAGCAAGCTCACCAGCTGTGTGGCCTGACAAAATTTTGGTAGTGGCTTTCTTGAGACCCAAACACCGGCAGCCTCCTATGTTCTACTCCTTCCTCGCTATCGGTTGTGGCCTCCTATATTCTACTCTTCCTTCTTATCGGTTGCGGCCTCCCATGTTCTACTTTTCCTCGCTACTGGTGGTGGCCTCCATTTTTTTCTCACTTTGCTTCTGGTTTTTCTTTGTTGTTTCATTTTTCTTTTAATTTTTATTTCCTTTAATCATTTTTCTTTTGCAAATCCATGAAATTTTTATTTCAAACTCGTGAAAATTTTCAAATCCATGAACAGTTTTCAAATCTTGGAACATTTATAGAAATTCACAAAAAAATTAAATTGATAATTCTTTTTGAAACTTGTGAACATTTTTTAAACAATGTATTTTTTAAATTTGGTAACATTTTATTGAAAATCAAGAACATTTTTTGAATTCATTAAATATTTTCAAATTTTTGAAGAGGTTATAAATTCATGATTTAAAAAATGAATGTAAAGTTTTTGAAATAAAGAATTTATTTGAAATCCCAAACATTTTTTGAAACTGAGATTCGTGAACAGTTCTCAAAGCACAAAAATAAAAACAAAAGAAACAAAAAGGGAGTATGAAAGAAGAAGAAAAATGGACCGCCCAGCCCCATTTGGGCTCAAAATGCG